ATATCCTGGGGCTTTGCCACCTGCAAATGGCCTCCACATAATACATCATGGGCTAGTTTCAAAACCTGGCTGCAGTACTGCTTTGGCACTAGTATTTGGGACTGCCAGGTCCCTCTGGCCTCATCTTTTGTCACTTTCATTAAGAGGACCCTGTGTTACACAAAATGGGGTTCCTGGGCTGCTAAGCATGCTTCCATTATGACTTCATTGGCTCAACCCAATCAGCTATAAAGAGGGGCATATACTACCCTCTGATCTCTTTCTGGGTGGCTTCCTACAAGCTGATCACATGGTGGTGATACACCCACCTTTAGGTTCCTACTAGGAGGATGCTGCAGAACTGCTCTTGGGCCACGAGTTCCACTATTTCCTCAGCTGACAGAGTTAGGGTTTAGCCAGAGGGTGCACAAGTTCTTTAATTTCTGAGCCATGGCTCGAAGCTGTGCATTTGGGTGTGCAAGTTCCCTGTCAGAACTTGGAGTGGTAAGCAAGAGTTGAGACCCAGCTAGTCTAGTATGACAACTTTAAGGGTCTTAGAATCCCAAGGCAAATCTGTTCCTGGTAAGTGGTCTGTGCCTCCCAAGTTAACAGGGCCACCCTCACAGCCCATTCATTTTGTTCCACTGACAGGACCCTGTCTCCCACTCAAATGTCATCATGAGGAAGGCCTCCAGGTCATCTTCAGGTCCCATCTTCATTAGTACTTTACCCTCTATCCTCTGGGAACCAGATGACTCACCAACTTGGGTGCAGGTTTGTCTTCACTCCAAATGGTGCTTCAAGAACTCCTGCCATTCCTGCTGCTGCTCCCTCTGGAGCTGCTGCAGCTGCTGTTTCTTCTGGAACTGTTGCTGCTGGAGTTGGAGCTGCTGAAACAGCTGCTGTGGTGCAGCCCCTCCAGCCATTTTAGCAGGGTTCTTGTCTCTACTACTGGAGTTAACTTAGAATGCCTGCATTCTCCACCACCAACTGCATAAATGTTCTTATAAATTAAAAAAAAAAAAAACCCACTAGACCTCACTACACAGGATAGCACATGCTATCTGATAAAGAATCGGTAGTTGTGCCTCTAATCCTTGAAAGGTCTCTTCCACTATGGTCACCAGCATTCATTTGGTGCAGATGAAGTTGTTTTGGCCTTCAATTCCTCCTGTCCTGTGCTCAGAGGGCTTAATGCCATGTAGGAATAATATGAACTTTTTACTCATTTGAAGGACAAAAATGCATATCTGAAACTATATTTAGGATATGCACAACTTCTTAGGGTAGAGACTTCAATTTTCTTCCTGTAGAAAGGCCAGGATAAGGTATTAGCTTTATGGATGATTACTGGAAGTCTGCCCTGTGTAACAGGAGTAACACTGAAGAAAGGTAAATGTGCTTGGAAGAAGGAAATCATCTCAGGCAACTTTGTCAGAGTAAAAGCAAGCATGGGATTTCTGAAAGATAATAGTACAGATCTGTGCACAGCTAGGAGGTTAGGAATCAGCTAAGAGGTTTGTGTTTAAATAAATGATTCTCTCCTTTTTATCCTTAGGTGACACTAACAGTAGATGGAAGAATAAATCTAATGGAAATATATCCAGATGATATCGCTGGTGCAGGATATGATTAAACAGAATATTTTTGAGACAGTAAGATTTGTTAGTGTGATTGCGAGAAAAACTATTTACACATTTATTTTAGTTCACTAAAACTAACAAAAATCAAAATAATATTTCTGCAAAATCTATGCAGAATATACATTTTTTTGCTGTATAAACTGCATATTTTTTACATATACAGAATGATATACTGTTCTTTGTCCCCTTCTACTACCTCATGGGCTGGCAGGATTAACCAGGTAGTGTGTTCTTCCAGTGAGGAAGAGCGGGGTGGGGGAGCCTCTTGGACGGGCTGCACTGAATTTTCAAACATCTCAGATCACTGTGTTGTGCCTTTTGGGGTAGAGGCCACAGGACTTACTGCAGGCAGAGAGAGGCCATGTTGCAACCTCAAATAACTAACCTCAGACTGCTATATATGCATATCCAAGAAGTGGGTACAATCCCCCAAAATTACATGGCTATATATATCTGTGCGTTTGTACACACACACACACACACACACACAGACTGTGCAGGAATCTTTTCACTAGTCTGTTTACTAGTACAATGACCAAAGAGATTACTAACTGTCTTCCTCAAACAGAAAACTGACTTGAGCAATGGGAGATAAGCAGTCACACAGGAAATAGTGTAGCAACATTATCCAGGAATAATCCAGCCATGTTTCTAATGCCCATTCACATCTCAGTTATCAGACTCGGTATTCTTATAAGCAAGGGTGACAATAACATGTTAATTTTTCCACGCTGAAACATCGTAGTTTGCTGGGTTTATTTGGTCTGATTATATTTAAAAATAATGACTCATTATTTAAAAGTTTTTTCTCCACTGAAGCTCCTTATTGCTGACGATAAACTTATATGAAAACAAAAAGATTTTTAGGTCTTCCCAACACCTTTTCTTACTAAATTCCTTTAAAATAGTTTAAGAAGAGTTGGATGGTAAACTAAATAAGAACCCTAATCTTCAGGCCATTGGGTATTCTGAAATAAGACTATTTCAGTATATTAAATTAATTATAACTTTGTTGGGATGGGACAAAAATCTTAGTGTCCTCACCTGGTGCGAGACCAACTATGTCTTAGTCAATCTCTCTCCCCCTCTGTCTCTTTGGTCTGATAAAATTTTAATTATTTATACACTATAAAATAGATTTAAAGGGACAGAAATTATTTTATGGTTACACACACACACACACACACACACACACACACACACACACACAGAGTAACCCATTATATCTGTACAGCTTTCATGAACAAACTGTGCTCATAGTCCTGATGTCCAGCTCCAATGGGAAGTTCCTTTCATCAGAGTCTCACTGGAATGGAAATGAATAATCCTATCTACACAGAAGTGTATTAAAGCTACCACATTTCTACCTATGTACAAAGGTTGAGGCAGAGAGCAGAGTTCAGAAATGGCTATATGGTTCCTAACTTTGTCCTTTAATCATTAGGATGATCAGATATTATATGTAATAATAAATAAAAATGTCTTATTAATATATAGGGTATCCAGATTGTAGCCATATTGGTGCAGAGGCAAAAGGAATAAACTCATGGAAGAGGTGATATCTCCTATTAGAACAACTATATATTTGCAAACGCATGATTTTATTTATTTGGAGACTTCACCATACCTTCAGCTCTCCTGTGAAATACAAATTTTAATTTCTACCTAGGAGAACTTTTACAATCTCTGCGCTCTCCTATGCCTGATGAAGGGTGAGTATGCCTGAAAGCTTGCAAATAAAATAATTTGTTAGCAAATATCTAGTTGGTCTAATAAAAGTTATCACCTCTTCCACAAGTTTTGATTCCTTACCAATTTAGATGTATATTCAATTATTTAAAGTATATGTATTTATGTATTAAGATGAAAATATAATGTAAATTGCATAGTAAACAATGTATGTGTAAACATTCATGAAATAAACTGATAAACAGAAAAAAAAACACTTATTTTATCTAGCTGAAAAATATTGCACTTAACTAAGTAGCCTGTTGTTTATTTCTAAGAGTTTCCTTTCCTACCCTTTTCACAGTCCAGCAGTCAATTCTTAAAAGAAAACTAGAAGGTATTAACAATTTACTAATTAATTGTACTAAATCTAAGTAGCAGATCAGCAGATGCTGAAGACAACAGAACTTCGAAGTCAAATTCTTGACTACAGTTTAAGAGAGCCAAGAGCAGAGAAAGCTTCCCCAGAGATAGAATGCAGAAAGTTGACTGTGTAGTAGAAACTAGGGCTCCGCAAAGTGGGCCATATTTGATTCAGAATTGGCCTGATTCCGGGGACAGTGATTGGATTCACTGACTCGGATCACTGTCCCAATTCAATTTGGCCAAATCTGAATCTGAAGATTTGATTCTTATTCAGAGATTCAGCCATAGACACAGCTTTAAAATGTTTTTCCTACATGCCTTGAGGTACCAGGCATGGTTTGTGAATCATGCTGAGATGTGGGACACTCCATCTGCCCCACCAGGAGCTCAGGGGGGCCACTTCCAGTCCACTTCTAGGTCCACTGCCATGTGGGAGACCCCCCATGGGTCCCCAGCTCAGTCATCAGCTGCGGGAGAACCCTGGGTGCCCAGGAGGCACCAGTCATTGAGCCGGGAGGCATGGTGGGGGGGGGGGGGTCCCACATGCTCCGCAACAGAACTGGAAGTGCTTCTGGACCATTTCCGGATCCACCTCTGAGAGCGCTGGGGACCCCTCCCAGGTTCCCATAGGACACTCCATCTGCCCCACCATGTCAGCATTCACAAACTGCCTGGTACCTTGAAGTATGTAGAAAAAACATATAAAGCTGTGCCTATGTCTGAAGCGTCAAACCTCTCCAAATTGAATTGAGATTTCCCATTCGATTTGGAGAGATTGATGGGTCTCCTGATTCAATTCAGATTCAGAGATTTGGTCACCAAATTGGACCAAATCTCCTCTGAATCATATCAGTGACCGAAGCTTCACACAGCCCTAGTAGAAACCTTGTAGGATCATCATTCCATATAAAAACTCACAAATGATCATTTCAGTTACTATTGTTCCATACTGTCTCTTGTTTGTGATATTTAAAAAGCCAAGCAGACTAGTACATGGATGTTAAAAGTCAAGTCTTTATATCATCACTTAGATTTTTTTAAAGAATTTTTTTCAGCAACAGTATTGGTTTAATCCTTAAATGGTATAAAATGGCAGATTTCCCCTGACTTATTTACGGAAAGGTGTTATCTTTTTTGTCTTGCACAGTACCAGCAACAGCAATTATACTTACCACAGAATGTGTACCTATATACCTTTTTGTATTACACAATACCACCAATAGCAATCACATTGAACTAAGATATATATATATTTAAATTTATCATACACTATGAAATACTTACCAAAAACTTGGAGGAATGTTTGTTTTTTATCATTTCCAGCTTTGTTTTTTGCTTCACATACATAAGGACCTGCATCAATATTTTTTATATTTCTGATTGTTAATTCTGTATGGCTTCCTTTCAATATATATTTTTCACTTTCTTCAATGAGTTTCCCATTCCTAAAGAATAACAAAAGAATGGCAAATCATGTGGAATGCTTCATAATCTCAAAGACTGTTCTGTGACTGTGTCAATCCCTTTAAATTTATTTCTGCTGGAGAAGAGTGTTATATTGCTAATGTCAGAAACATTAAAAAGGTTGTGCTGCTTGCTGGCATCGTATTTAGAAGCCAGTTGATTTTAGCTTGATCTAAAATGTTGTAATAAGTATCAGGATGTCTTCATAAATATGTTTAAATTCCAAGCATAAGGGAATCATTCTGCATTGCATTTAGAGGCTCAGAAATCCTTGACACAAATCTTTCGTTGCCAGGTTCTAAAATACAAATTAATTAGAAGCAGTACAACACTTCCATTTCCATAATTTTAATATTGATTCAGTGACAAAAATATTTCTGTGAATAAGCCTGAATAAGAAGGTTTCCATTCAGAACAGGAAAAAGAAAAGAAAGAAAAGGAGGCAGAAACATTTCAAAGCAAATGGTTACCATTCACATGTGTGCAACAATTTATAAAAATGATTTTCTTTACTTATATGTAATATATAGTGGCACATAAACAGCTCATCATTTTTTTTCTTTTTGGTCATTGCTGGCTAGTGACAATTTAGTAAACAGACATATCTCTAAACACAAAAATGAATTCTGACCAGACAACATAAGAATAATGAAACCTCGGAACAGTCTAAGAGCTGCTTTAATCTTGATTAATCTATTTTAGCACCTTGGCAACACACAATTATCATGCTTACTTCATTTCATCTACTCGGATATAATCCTAATTCTTTTTATTTTTCTTCACAGTTTCATGATCTTGACCTTATTTCTGTTGACCAGCTATGCACCTTCTTCACTTGGGTTCCTAAATAAATTGCCTGACTTTAGAAATGTTGAGCTACCATATCTCACCATCCGTGAAAAAGGGATGTGTAAAGTGGATTTCTAAAAAGTGAATGCCTAAGAATGGATATCTAAAGGTGCTGACAGACATTGGTGGTAAGGGGGAGAGGAAACAATGCACACTCTCCCGGAAGCAGCAGCGCATTACTTCGACTTGGCTCCACAGCATCTGTATAGATTGGTGTTTCCGCAAGGCTTTTTGGCACTTTTAAACCTGATTCAATCAGCTGTTAGATAAAACCACCAAAAAAAACCTCACTAAATTGCCCAATCTCTACAGATGTTGGGAAATCCGTGTATAACTAATGCGCTGCCTCTTCTGGGCATGTGTTGGGCTTGGCATGGAAGCATGCCAAATTTAATGTAAAGCACAGGTTTTTTTCCATATCTGCAAGCAGCTTAAGTGTCTAAATGTGTATATCCATGCTAAATTTAGGGTCTACATTTCAAAATGATTTTAATTTCTTTATATTTACTTAATACCAAGAGTCATCTTTAATGTATTATTTTCTAAATAATCTAATTCTTCAAGCAGAAAATTCATTTCTTGGGAATACTAATGTTATGCTAGCAACATTCCATTGGAAGGATTTTCTCTTTCTTACATTTTAACAATTACCATCACTCCAATTTTAATCTGTTTATGCCTATATTTTAGACACTTTATAGTAACATTGATTCATTTCCTTTTCAAGGCAAGTTATTATATTGCGTTAACTCTGCTTTTAGATAGTTTCACACAATTGTAGTAATTCCAATATGAGATACAACAATATATCCAAAGTTAAAATTGGATCCAAAAAAATGTCTGTTTATCATGATCTCACTTATACCCGACTATTTCTAAGTGGATATAAGATTATCCCCAGGACCTCCAAGGAAAGGGACAGACTCAAATTAATGTTGATATTATAGAATAAGCAGACACGTATAACACATCAGAACATCAGAAGAGTATTCTGTTAATTCTAAATCCTGTCACTGGAAATAAAGAATTAATTGAAAATCATCATATATGTAAGTTATCTCCATGTGTAGAAAGAGTCATGCTTATTTCCATAGGGATACCAACTACAGCTTGTAGGACTGTGGTTATCTGCTAGACTTGGAAAATAAAATTCTCTTAATCTACTTTTTTCTTTCACTTTTATTGAGTTACCCTAGTCGAATTATATTATCTTCAATAGAGATACCAATGTCAGTGAAAGAAGAATCATATATCCATGAAATCATATATCATGTATCCTCCATGTTCATGAAAACGTAACTGGGTACATTTCCACAATAAATAAATCAGTGACTAATCCACGCTGATATTTCTTCTCATGTATGTTTTAAAGTGACTGACCTGTAAGCAGTCTAATGGATTGTTAGGGAAAATGTTGACACTCAACTGCCTACATTTTGTATGACTGCAATTATCTAAATGATTATCTAAATTTCAAATTAAGTTTATCTATATTTCCATATCAGCGCAGATACCAAGCAGTCAAGATCTATGATATTATACACAGATCAATGGAGGATTGATAAGCTACTTAATTTGGCCAGAATTTTGTTTACTGAGATGCAAAACACAAGAAAATTAAAAATAATGGCATATTTTAAAGCTCAGCTGCCTTCACTGTTGCAGCACCATTTTGTACCATGGCTGAATTTGACTCTCACTGAAAGCAATGTATGGGAAATGAAAATTCCAGAGCCAATATATTTTTAACTCTTCTAAATTCTGACTTCATTCAACTGTAAGGAAGTTAAATATACAGGAAGACAAATTTAAAATTTTGCAGTCTTTTAACAGGTGTGTGTGGGGGGAATTGCTTAGCTTCAGTAGGAGTATCACCGGTGTCATGAACTGGCCTTACAAAATAGATTTTACCAAAAGAGAGAGAGTTTTAAAAATATATATCAGAAAGCACTGCATATTTACAACTGTGAAACAAAACTAATTACATGTATATGTATGAAATTAATTATATGTAGGAAAGTTGTGTTGAATAGGTCCCCTAGTCTGTTTAGGGCTGGCTGTAGGCTGTGTGTGACAGGCCCTAGCCTTCACTGCCTCACCCTAAGTGCTGCAGACAAGAAGCAGAAACTGGAGGAGCAAGGGGAAGCCTGTAGCCCCCGGTGGCAGTGGCAACACTAAAAGTGATGGGGAAAAGGGGAAGTGGCACCTTGTTGAGAGCGTTCAGGCTGTGATACACTGAAATATTTTAAAATTAGAATATTCTAAAAATATTACTTAAGACTTTTCAAACTTAGAAAGCATCTTTACATAAGCTGGTAGATCTAGTCTTTCCTTTTTGAAAATGAAAGATATCATTGTGGAATTTTTACTTCTGATAAAGAGGACATTTGGAATATCAGAGGGGTTTTTTTAACTAAATTCTGAGAATACTGACAGACAAGAAGTACATTGTATAATATGATCTCAAAGAAACTGCAAGTTCTCAGAGTATGAAACTTTAGTTTGTCAATTCAATACAACTTTTAAAAATAATTTGGGCTTTGCATTTTTTTCTTGTCTGTTATAAACTTTTTCTATCTATATTAATGAGTGAACTGAACATTGTCTTGGTATCTACCCAATGCAAGCAAGGTGTAAACAAAGGGAAAACACAATATATTTAAGCTAAATTTAGCAGTCTTTAAAAGTTCCAAATGCTGGGTAAGAATGATATGGGGGAATTGATGGGAATGCCTATTGAGTTTAATATACTCCAAAAATATGCACTGATCTCCTGATGTTTTTGAAAAAGCACATATGGAGACAATTTATTCAAGCCTAAAATAGAAATGCACATTCATAAGGAGAATGTGAGATATTTCATATTCTAAAAGAGGTATGTACCCTTGCTGAACTGATCAACTTTAGAAAAGAAAGGAATAGAAGACAGAAAAGAAAGGAATGCAAGATTGTTATATAAAGTACGGTAACAGAAACCAATAAAATGTTAAAATGTTTAAGGATATTAAGGATAATAAGTTGTCAGAACTGCACAATTTTAACTATTCAAATCTCATTGACTTCATCTGGAAGATAAGCCAAATACTCCAAAAGCAGTCATCTGTTTCTAACACATTCACAGCTGCAAAATTATCTAAGATACATCTGCAAGCAATTTAATCAAATATCAAGCACAGAGTAACAGAATACCCAAATGCGAGACCTGCCACTGAATATCATATGAAACAATCAGTTGAACCTAGACCTTTATTTTACATTGTACACTATAATACACAGTACTCTGTATGACTATAGTATACAAGTTTTATCTATACCTTTTGCCATCTTAGTTTCAAATAGGATCAAAGCCTGGAAATTTCACATGTAGAAATTCAGAAATAAATGGTTTCTATTTTTATTTGTTTTGTTCTTAAGTCACTGGTATACCACTTTAATTTATTCTACCTTGTTACAAAAGAAGTTACTTTTAAAACAGATTCTTGATATTTTTAAATTAATTTTCCAGTTTCTCTTGCTTGATGATAACCACAGTGCAATTTAATTTGTAATAAGCAACTTGTTTCTTAGGACTGACTTTGTTTTTTTGTATCTTTATAGTAAATGTTGTCATCAATGCTCTTCAAACTGCCAATGAGACAAATGGAAGTAGAATACTGCATTTTTATTTCAGTAATATATATGCTCCAACCATAGTTTAAACCTTTCTGGTACAGAGATATAAGTTAAACTTACCTATACCAGATGATTTCAGGTTCAGGAGAGCCAGTGGCTCTACAGAATAAAGTAATTGCCTCTCCCCGATCTGCTGTGGCATTAAAGGATTTCTGTAGCACAGTAATTGATGGAGGAACTAAAAGAAATGTGAACAGTACATGTGAGGTCAGCTAATTAAAAATATGATATTTCTATTATAGCTGTGGAAACTTTAAATAGAGCAACTCTTGATAATCTTTAATTTACAAACATAAATTGAATTCAGGCTACAGTATTGATTGCCACAAAGTTATCTGCATTACTGTAGTTCCTGTGTAAAATGTAGCCAGGAGGATTCCACTTAAATGTTATCAAGATACTTTGGCATGGCTTCTTTTGAACTAAGTAAGAACAAAGACAAGATAAGCATCTCACTCTCTTTATATGAATTTTATTGAATAAGCATTAAAAGTGTTTCTAGCCTTAGCTCACATGTGCATGTCATTGCAAAGATACTGATTAGTGTTAATTTAACTACCTCAAATAAAAATGTGCCTCTCTTCTTCTTTCTTTCTCTTATGCAATTGTGTAATTGATGCCCAACCATGCACTGATGTGAGACACCACTTTCAAATTAGGTGAGAGGCTGTAATGTTCTTTTTGATTAAACATACTTAATTTTTTTAAACAAACGACAGTATATTTTCTGGACAGAAATATCATCAGCCTAAAATGGTGCAGTGTGACAAGCTTGCATGCACAATAGATTTCTAAAATTACATTTTCAAAACTTCTAATTGTATCGTGAAAACATCTGCCTATTTTTGATAGGATGGAGCAACTTAAATAATAGTTTGCGCAGAGCATTCTCACTAATGTACATAAAAAAAATGCAGGTGTAAGGGACAATAAAGCTGAAGCGGCTATTTAATATATATTTCAATGTTACTAATGTTATGATACAAGCATAGACTTAAGACAGATGGTACAAATTTTAATGTCCATTAAGCATTCTACTCAAAGTGTATTCAAATGATCTATTACGCTATTGTAATATTCTTACCTGGGTACCTCCAGTAAGTAACAAACTATCCCAGGGGTTTTCAACCTTTTTTAATAAATGTACCCCTAGTGGCCAGATGTGGAGTGGGGGGTGGGGGGCATGGCCAGATGTGGAGCAGCAGTGAGGGGTGGTGGGTGGCAACAGCCACCACCACATACAACCTTTCCCTTCCCCTCTCCCTGTGTCTGGCTGTACAGGTGGCACCCGTGCAGACTGCAGAAGGATGCTGCTGCCCTCGCCCCCCAACCCAGCCCTTCTCCTGGGAAATGACAGCGTCGGGTGGTAGGTGGCGGTGCTCCATCCCTGCCCACCCACACATAGCCCCTAGAGCCTTCCTGCGTACTCCCAGTTGACAACCCCTGAATTACCTTATTTCTGTTGTGTCCATTAAAATCAAAGATTTGTTGCCTTTAATGGAACAGACAAGAATATCAGAAGACCTTAATCTTGGATTCTCTTATCCACCAAGCTCACACCATTCTTTGCTGGGCTTTAACACCTTCTGCAGTGGAATGCTATCTCTGTGCATGCAGAAATGTAAAGGTATATGGGTGTGAGAATGGAGTTGTTTCAGGGGAGAAGAGAGAGTGGGAATGAAAGAGCAAGGATTTCACCAAGTCCACTTTTCTGCTATCCAAAAGAGCTAGGTGTTCTAACACCAGACTTCTTTAGAATTGTCCCTCTGAACCTTTAATTTAAGCCAGTGCTGGTGGGTGAGAACCAGGGAGTGGTCCACTTCCTCCCTGCATTCTACTTAAGATTTGCTTAGTGTGACAGGGGGCAGCTCTTGAGAATGAGTCTCCTGCTGGCCCACCCACCTATCTATGGGGCAGTCTGCCCCGTCTCACCTGCCATGACTTTGCTCTTCTCAAAATGGGTGGTAAAATGCGGGATACTGCCTGTTACGTGCCCCAATGCCCTGATGTCAGGGAGTGCTATCTGAGGCTCTGAACCTCCCCTACACCACAGCCCAAACCTCGCAGATGGCATCCATGCTGTCATTATGCTCCCAGCCTAGAGCCGGGCCATGCTTAGCCCTCACTGTCAGGATCTTGCGCGTGCACACACACACACACACACACACACACACTCCGCCCT